AGGATTTCTCCTGTAAGCCAGTCCGGTCTCCTACCATGTTTGCCTCTCTTGCTACGCGATGGGATGGTTTCTTTCTGTGCCTTCAGTAAGGCTTCTTTAAAATACTGCCAGCTGTCCTGGACTCCTTTCCCCTTCATGTTAACATCCCAGGGGATTCTGCCCATCAGATCTCGGAGGGAGTCAAAATCTGCTTTTTTGAAGTCCAAGGTGTGTATTTTACTACTCTCTTTTCTTCCTTTGGTCAGGATCCTGAAATCTACCATCTCATGATCACTGCTTCCCAGGTTGTCACCCACCTCCACTTCCCCTATTAGTTCCTCCCTGTTTGTGAGCAGAAGGTCAAGCTGCGCACGGCCCCTGGTCGGATCCTTCAGCACCTGTGTCAAGAAGTTATCCCCAACATTCTCCAAAAACTTCCTGGATTGCCCGTGTACTGCCGTATTGGTTTCCCAACAGATGTCAAGGTGATTAAAGTCCCCCATGAGAACCAGGGCCTGCGATCTGGAAGCTTCGCTCAGTTGTCCGAAGAAAGCCTCATCTACCTCATCCACCTGATTCGGTGGCCTGTAGCAGACACCAACCACAATATCAATGCTGTTGTTTGCTCCTTTAAACTTAACCCATAGACTCTCAACAGGTTTTTCTCCCTCTTTATACTGGAGTTCAGAGCAATCGTAGTGCTCTCTTACATATAGTGCAACTCCTCCTCCTTTTCTCCCCTGCCTGTTGTTCCTGAACAGTCTATACCCTTCCATGACAGTGCTCCAGTCATGCGAGTCATCCCACCAAGATTCTGTTATCCCAATTAAATCATATTTCTTGGTCTGGGCCAGGGCCTCCAGTTCTTCCTGTTTGTTGCCCAGGCTTCTCGCATTAGTGTACAAACACTTCAGGTAACCAGTTGATCGTCCTATCTTCTCCATTCGAAACATGGGTCCTCCTTTCTTGCCCCTTCCTCTCTGCATTTCTTCCCGGTATCCGACTTTCCCACTCCCCTAGGGTTTTGGTCACTGTCCCCCGACGAACCTAGTTTAAAGCCCTCCTCACTAGGTTTGCAAGCCTGCTCGCGAAGATGCTCCTTCCTCTCTTCGTTAGGTGGATCCCATCTCTTCCTAACAATCCTTGTGCCCAGAACAGAGTCCCATGGTTGAAGAAACCAAAGCGCTCTCTGCGACACCATCTGCGCAACCACGCATTTACGTCCTCAATTCAACGATCCCTGCCCAGTCCTTTCCCTTCAACAGGGAGGATGGAGGAGAATACCACTTGCGCTCCAAATTGTTGGATCCTTCTTCCTAGCGCTACATAATCCGCAGTAACACGCTCAAGATCATTCTTGGCTGTATCATTAGTTCCCACGTGGAGGGTAGTTGATTAATATAGGGATTCTTAAATAAAGTAAACAAATAGCATCTAATTAAGGTCAGATAATATGTAGTAGTCTTTATTTAAAATAATAAATGCTGCCACATTACTGTTCTAATAGCTCTCAGAAGTTAACTGATCAAGGTCTCTTAACATGGCTATACAACAAAATTCTTTCTTCCATACTGTAGTGCTGATTTCTAACAAATTCCCACAAAGCCATGTCTTTACAGTGGTCTTAGTTCCTTATACATATAATAAAAAAATGAAAATCTGAATTTCATTTATGCTAACGAGAGGCTAATTCAAATAAAGGAAGTGATGTTCATTTGCATCAAGATTCAGCCACACCAGAGTAACGTTTCCAAATGTGGTTTTACTCAACCTTCAATTCACTACAAGCAGGTAGCAACACTTCCAAGTCTGGCTTGTGACAACAGAGCCTAAAGAGGTTTTCAATTCTGCTACACATTTAGCTGCTATTAGTGGAGATGTATTTATCTAAATGGTCATTGCACCCGATGAACTATTCCATATAGCATGTAAATATGCCATAAAGAGTTACAATAGATTCCATTCATTTTAGAATAATTTCCTCTTTAGAAAAGTTTGTTTAAAATACAGAAAAAATATTTGTGGTGAATTTTCCAATGATAGAATTCTTAAGGAGAAACTGATTGGTATCCTCAGGTTCTCCAGATTCCTCATTTAAGCCCCTATTCTGCAGTTTATTCCTACTGAGCAAAGCATGCACATAGTTTCAGCGGGATATAAAAATGTGTCTTGTCTATTCTAACCCTTGACATCAACCTAATCTACGTCACTACACCTATGTAAATAGTCTGGCTGAAGCTGATGTACTTACCGCTGCATCTTGCATGTGGTAAGTTTGGTGGGGGCTGTTCTCCCATCAATGCCAGCTACTTTTCTCATCCTGGTGGAGTACTGGTGTCAACAGGAGAGCATTCAGAGATTGATTTATCGCGTCTTAGTACGCATGATAAATCAGTGGCCAGTGGATCAGTTGCTGCAGTATGGATCACCGGCATAGTGGAGACAAGAATTCTTGTTTAGCAATGCACCTAAGAACACATTGCAATGCTTTGCCTTCATTCCTATTTGTACAGGGAGAGGTGAATGTCAGTGAACATTTACCTAGAAATGCTATAGTTGGTAAAGAAATAATAATACCTATTTATTACATAGCACTTGTCATCAGTAGATCTCAAAGTATAAAGGTCACTATCATTATCCCCCTTTTCCAGATGGGGAAACTGAGGTGTGGAGGGGTGACTAGCCTAAGGTCACATAGCCACCCATAGTACAGCAATGGTTAGACCCTCTCTCTCCTGTTTCCCTGTCCAGTGCTGAAGCCACTAAGCCATGCTACACTTTTCCCCGATATAATGTACAGTAAATGCTGAAGAGAATGCAAAGTCAGAACTGAATACATACCAGAGATTGGCCTTCTGTAGCAGAATGTGTGTTAACCGCTATCTGTAAACACACATTGCAAATTTCAAACCAGTTCAAGTCTCCAATTTTTTTATATTAATGTAAAATACCATTTGTGGACTTGTGAGTAGGATGTCCTGATTGCTCTTGGAGGATTTTGTATAATTGTATTAAATATTTGCATTGGCCCTATTTATTTTTCAGAATAAGGCTTCACATACTTTACAATAGATTTTTGTTGATCTGAACAAGTTCCAATTATCTTAAAACTATCTTGCCTTCAGGCTGGAATGATACTGAAATATTGCTCTTTCCAGATATGGAAAAATATACACATAGATGATCTGAACGCTGTCCTTATTGTGGGGAAAAATGGTTTCCTCATCCTTAACACACACTGTGCAGATGTAAATGAAAACAAAACCCTTGGTGAGAGAAGTAGGCATTAGCTATCATAATGCATAGCCTGATACAGTCAAGGTGGGTTTTTTAGGCCATGACTATAGATGGCTGCAGAAAAAGCACTAACTGAGCTAGATGAGAAACATACATAATATTTGACATGCTGCCCTGCCGATATACACACAGAGATGATGATGGTGGATTGAAGAATTGTAGGCTATGGCTCTGAGGAATCTACTAGCTCTGCAGGTTTGCCGACTGGGAAAGAGAGGGGGCAAAGGGGTTAACTGCTCCGGCGCCCAGCAATTTTAAAGAGCCCAGGGATCCCAGTCAGTGCTGCCAATACTGCAGCGTTGGCAGCACCCAGCACCCTGGACCTTTTAAATTGCTGCTGGAATGCCATGTGGCACACTCTAGCCAGCACGAAGGGCTGGGGGAGCTGGTGTGGTGTGCTCCAGGAAATGCAGAAGGCTGGCTACCCCCAGTCCTTCTCCTTCCATCTGAGGCCCTACCTCTTCCTGGAGCATAGGCCAACCCTCCCATGGCCTGGTCCCATCGTGGTTGTCTGCTCTGATGACCTATCATGCAAGATTTATCTCACATGAAGGCTCCTCTCACTCACATGAATAATTTCTGCCTCTATCTCATTACTAGTCACCCCTCTTTAATTCTGCCACCTCATCTCACCTGATGTTCACCCTTTGGGTTCCTTTTCCCACAAGTGACTTTACACATTTCCCCGTTTTGCCCTTGTCCAATATGAAGAGAACACCCCCCATTGTGTGGTGTGCTCTGCATCCTTGCGTTTTCCTTCAAATCCCTCGCTGCAGTTCCTTTTATTAACTTTCTATCTAGCCATTCAAATTGACAATATGTGCATGCATATAGCAAATATAGATCAAGGACTCAGAGCTGTAGCTTCCATCCTTCCATTACCCCTTTCCCCATCCTTGCTTTATTTCAGTCCTTGCTGTATTGGTCTAGAATAGATTTTAAACGTTTGGGAGAGGAGATATTTCATGGTTTTTTTTATTTTTATAATTGTAACTGAGATTGGGGCTGCACTGGGCAAGGCACTGGACAGACACATGGTACACGACAGTATCTGACTTAACAAGCTTGCAATCAAACAAAAGGATGGACAAAGGAAGGGATGAGGAAATGTGATAATCCTCATTTTTCAAAAGGGAAACGGAGGCAGAGAGAGATCAAATGACTTGCCTGAGGCCACACAGGAAGATTGTGACAAAGCCAGACACTGACTTTATACCACCCGAGGCTTAGTCCAGTACCTTAACCACAAGCCCATCAAGGTAATGCCTGCCACGAATCATGTACGGGTATGGCACGCAATAGGTAATAGGCGGAGAAAGCTCATATATTTTAAAAACCATCAGGAAGATGCTGTAATGGAAAAATCCAGAGGCATAGTACAAGGGAAATGGAGATAAAACTCTGACATCACTCTCAACAACAAAGGGGAATGGTGTCTCCTCTTCATTATAGAAGGCTGGCACTTAATGATGATGAAAAAGAATATATATGCTCTAGACATATCAAATATAGATTTACATATATAGAAATATACATTAGGCAATTCAGTCAGTATACAAATACTTACATGAAAAAAATAGAGAGACAAGGTAGGTGAGGTAATTGTCTCTCTCATATCCTGGGACCAGCACAGCTACAACAACATTGCAAACATGTAAAAATAGGGTTTCCTTTCCCCTTTTCATGATTTACAAAAGTATTCAAAGTTTCCTGTTTAATAGTGTGAGTACTCCCTGTGTGCAAAATACCACACACACTTCTTTCACAGTATTGGTTATTACAGTGTGGAAGCTGACATTCCAGGTGCGAAAATGTTCTTAGGAAATGTTTCAAATGGAAAGAGACTTCAACATCTATTTAAATACAGTAAAAAGGGTCACATTTAGTTGAATTATTTTCAGATTAAAAATGGTTCTGCTGCAGTTGAAATACATGATGATTAACTTTGAACAGTGTATTTCCATTAGAGATGGGCTAGTATAAAAACTCAAGAACTGCAAAATTGATGCAATAATCCTGGGATGCTCAGAGAACCCTCAGCTCTAACTGTAAGCTGAGGGACTACTTCAGTATTAGGAAGAACACAGAGTATAAAAGGAGGTGCACATCATCTTGCAGGTTTAGACCCTTACATGGCTGCCACTTTCCCTTAAAAAGCCAGCATACAAGAATGTATGCCAAGTACCACTGGTGTTGTCATCATAACTTTTTATGTATAATTTTTCATGTTCAAAACACTTTATGGCCATGAATTCATCCTCACAATATCTTTGTGAGGTAGATCAATATTATCCTCATTTTAAAGGTGAAAAAACTGAGGTGGAAAGGTGAAACAAATTGTTCAAAACTACGATCACAATTCAGGAGTTATGAACTCCATATCCTGTCCTCATCCCTAGAACTCTCCTCACCCTCGTGCTTTTACACCATTTGTAGAGCTATTACTTCAAAAAGCAGTTATAATTTAGGGTGATGTCCCAAAAGGTGAAGTACCATTGGTGGATGCTGGGGAGACATCCTCCAAAAATACTACAATTTGAGACGGTGTTTCAATGAATTATGTCATTCAAGATGATGGAGTAAGTTGGTAATCAGAACTTGTGTGTTATTTGTGAGCTTTTGTCCTATGAATATCTTTGTGCATGGGAGTTACTGAGAGTTTCAGAATCATTATTTAGCCCATCTCTAATTGTAGCACACCCAGAGAGTGTGGATGCATGTGCAAGTGTACACATACTGCCACACTGGTGGTCCTTAAAATGTATTCAGTTTGCATGAAAGACAAATAGATAGTTACCTCCAAATCTACTGTCTTCCCTTGTATTTGCCTATAGGAAGTTCTCTTTAGTCATGTAAATCTAGAGGTAAACTAAATGCAAATAGGCATTTTAATTACCTAAGGCAACTGGACATCTTTTAAGGACCATTGCTCTGTAGGTATGTATATAACAGGGAATCATGGTTATCTGGAAACTGCTGCTGTCTTGAATTAATTAAAATGTGGTCAAAATGTAAAGTGCATTATGTGGTATATAACCCTTAGTGATAAAACAAGCAATTCATCTCCCTTCCACAAATTGGTAAGTTTTGCTTAACAGCTGAACCATCAACTTCTCTATCATCCAGTTTTAGTTTAGTTTATCTAGAGTGAGAAAGTCCATCAAATGTAAGTCAGATCATTGTAAACAGAGGCATTTTTTTGTAATATTATGCTACTAAAGAATAACCAACATCAAGAGAGTGTCCAGTTGGGATGTGTAAATATTATCATATGCTTCTTGGTCCATTTAGCAAATACTTTCTTTTCTGTGATAAACCTATGACCTCCATAGGGAGCATTTTCATGCAGAAAGTATTCATCACATTCATCTCTTCCTGGCTCATAATAATGGTAAGGGACCTTTCGAAAGGCTTCTGATCTGGGAAAGAAAAAAAAACACAGATAAATGTTAACACATGCTCCAGGAAATCCATTACATACATTGTAATTTAATTCATTTGAATCCTTGCCCATGTGTCTTATATCCTGGGTGCATTAAAAGCTATCATATGAAAAATCTTTCCATTATAGTATATATACAGTATAGTTTGTGTACATTTTAATAGCTCAGATAAATAAAATATGTCCATAATGCAGGCTTACTAGTTAGCATAGGGTTACAGACAGAGTCTAGAAAACACTCCCAGGGTTGTTCTATTGCAAAAGTTAGCCAAGGGGTCAGTATCTCTAAATGGCAGATTCTCATTGCGTAGTCCTAGTCCCTGAAACAGGTTCTTGGGTTGGTTGACTGGGAATGGCACTCAACAGTTGATATTAACAAGTAAAACAGAAAGGTGAGCCTTTTTGCACTACTCTTTCTAGCAAATGATTAAGCTAAACCAAACTGATATCTCCTACTCAAGCAATGGTCCAGAATTTGCAACTATAGGGAAATGTCATTCCACTCTATTAAAGGAAGAGTGAAATGTTACTGTGCTATATACTGATTCTCTGCCAGGGCTGTGTACTGAGGATTATTGGCTGAAATCTGTAGAGACAGCTTTGAGGGGCAGTGAAGACAGCTATAAAATAATAATGATAAAAAATATAATAAATAGGAGAAAGGGGAAGTTGCTAGTAATAAACATAAATCAGAAGTTAGGACTTGTAGAAAATTGATAAGGATGTATAGGAACTTAAGAAGAACTCTATGGCCAGCAGAATTAAGGACAATAAGAAGTTTTAAAAGTATATTAAGTTAAAAAAAAAGAATCCTGACAATAGCACTGGTCTGTTACTAGATGGTAATGGTAGAATTACCAATAAAAATGTAGAAAAAGGAGATGTGTTCAATACATATTTCTGTTCTGTATTTGGGGAAAAACAGATGACACATACTCATCATATGCTGATAATAAAAGTCTTTACATTCCACTAGTAACTTTAGAGGATGTTAAACAGAATCTACAAAAGTCAGACATCATATAGTTTTCATCCAAGAGTTTTAAAAGAGCTACCTAAGAACAGTTCACTGGACTGTTAATGCTGACTTTCAATAAGTCTTGGAGAAAAAAGGAAGTTCCATAATACTGGAAGAAAGCTAATAAGCCAATTTTTATGAAAGCAAAAGGAATGACACCAGCAATTATAGACTTGACATTGATCCAGTCAACCTGACACGGAACCCAGACAAAATATTATACTGGATTAGATTAATAATTAAAGGATTGCAATACTATTATAGTCTTGACCTTCACAATATCCTCTGGCAAAGAGTTCCATGGGTTGACTATGTGTAGTAAGAAGAAATACTTTCTTTTGTTTGTTTTAAACCTACTGCCTATTAAAGGTATTAGTGTTGACATAACATATGTCAGTATGTTGGCTTTTGTCAACATTTTGATTAAAAAATTGAATGACATAAAAATTAACATGGCACACATAAAATGGACTTCAATGGTTAATAAATATCTCTCAAAATGTAATGGGTCTGTTTTCAATGGAATGCTGCACTGGTCAGTTCTTGGTTCTATATTTTTATCAATGATCTAGAAGAAAATAAAATTGGCACTGATAAAGTTTTCCAATGATACAAAAATTCATGGAGTGGTTAATAATGAAGAAGACAGGTTACACATACAGGGCAATTTCAGTCTCTCGGTAAACTGGACTCAAACAAAATATGCATTTTGTATGGATAAATGTACCTCTAGGAACAATGAATGTAGGCCAAATTTACAGCATGGAGAACTCTATCTTAGGAATCAATGACTGTGAAAAAGATTTAGGGTCCTGGTGGATATTCAGCTGGTGGATATTCAGCTGAACATACGTTCTCAATGTGACTCTGTGGTCAAAAGAGCAAATGTAATCTTCGGCTGCATAAACAGGGGGGTTTTCAATAAGAGCACAGAGGTTATTTGGCCTCTGTATTTGACACAAGTGTGACCACACTGGAGTACTGTATCCAGTTTTGGTGCACACAAGTTAAGAAGGATGTTGATAAATTGGAGAGAGTTCAAGAGAGGGCCACGAGAATGATTAAAATATTGGAAAACGTGACTTATAGCGGTAGACTCAATGAGCTTAATCTATTTAGTTTAAAAAGTAGATTAGTGGAGTGACATTATAGTCTATATGTATATACATGGGCAGCAAATAATAAAACACGGACTTTCTAATCTAGCAAAGAAAGGTAGAACATGACCAATGTCTAGAAGGTGAAGCTAGACAAATTTTTTATTCAGACTGGAAATAAGGTAGAAATATGAGGGCAATCAACCACTGGAAAAATTTACAAGAGCCATGTGGATTCCCCACATGATTGTATGTTTTTTTTCTAAAAGAGCTGCTCTAGGAATTATTTTGAGTAACTTTTATGGCCTGTGCTAGACAGGAGGTCCATCTAGATGATCACAATGGTGCCTTCTAGCCTTGGAATCTAGGAAAAACTTGAGCTATGTCACTCCTGTTCTCATGATCTTTGTCATATTTTCCATACACAAGGAGAAACATACATCCTTTCAGGGTGGATGACTGTGATTGTGTGTGTGTGTGTGTGTGTGTGTGTGTGTGTGTGTGTGTGTGTATGTGTGGGTAGGTAGGGGGAACTGAATTAAAGGTAACAGGAATCTGACAGCCAATATGCCCACTTTGCTGCATCTGCCTTTGTGTGTTATTAACTCCAGCTGAGAAGGAGCTGGGTCTTCTTCATAAAATGAGGAAGTGAGCTTTTGTCGAGGGACAAAGGAGGGAGGAGATAGGGAGTTTTCTCTATCTCTGGGAAGGGCCTGAGGCTGGCAGACAGAAGGATTTGGGGACAGTATTAATTGCTTTGGTGGGCCTTGGAAAAGGGAAAGGCACAAAGAAAGAGTCCTGAGGGGTACATTTCGCAAACAAGAAATCCTAATGTATTAAGAAATCAAAGTGTATTTGCATAGACATATTTGAGTATGTCTACTTGTATGGAAAAACGTTCTCCATTTGCCGGCTAACTCCAAGACTGTAGAGAGTCTTTGATTTAAAAGGTTTCTTATGACATTTGACATCAAAGTTTTATAAATGGTCGTTATTTTATCAACACCAATGCCATATCAGAGCTAAATACAGTGACAGTATGGCATCACATCAATGCAAAACACTAGGAAATGGATATCTAATTCATTTTTTGGATTTATGGTATAAAAATGAATTGTGTTATTTTGACAAGATATCAGAATTGTAGATACATGAAAATAATTTCCTGTGATCTTACTTGCAGTAGGTGTCATTTATCATCCCATACACATGAATTCCATAGCAAGCGTCCATAGCCAGAATCAAGGTAAACCAACCAGTGCTGAGATATGAACCTGACTGGACCCTGTAAAAATACAATACCATACATAACAAATTGCAGTGAGAAATTACTAACACTTTATCAAGGAAATATCGCTATTACCTAGGCCAAAAGGCATTAAGCAACTTGACAATCTGTCAAAAACATACAATTATTTTGAATTGTTACAGGTGTTCTCTAATTCTTTTTAGCTTGGGGCCTCAGGCTACAGCCCACAGAAGAAAAACCATATGCTAAATATCTGAAAGTCAAACAACTCATGCCCCGTAAGGTGGAAAGTAAATTATATGTACATCTGAAAACCAAATTAATGTAGTGTAGTAGATGACAGATGATAACCACTGCCGGAAGTCAAATGAAAAGGGATGTGTAAATGCACCTATTTATACACCCCCCCCACCTTCATGTGCATAGGAACTATTACTATAATGTCATGTATATTACATGAATATTTTAAGTTTACAATGTGCAACTTTTAAGATTTTGTTGACAATCAGTTTGTAGAATCAAAAGTGGCTGAGATGAAATACTTGAATCAGAGAAAAAAATGTAAGGGAATATAATCTGGTCTGGAAACATTTATTCATGCAACTAGTTCTATTGAAAGAAATAGGACCCCCTGCATGACAGCAAACTAATCACATGAATAAAGATCTAGTCCACAGTTTCCAAATGCCTCCTATATGAGAAAATATATATTATTTAATAAAGGTCAAATATTGTTCACATTAATCATAACAGCAGCACGACTGGGACTCAACAAACGTTCCCACATGAGAAGAGCAAGCAAGAGATGTTGTTTTAATATCTCTGATAAAAAGGAATATGTTAGGCAATAAGGATGGGATTCACACACATATCTAGGTGCCTGATTCCCATTTAAATACCGTTGTGAATCCCACCCTGCACTACACTCTGGATAAGGTCCAGCTTTGCTTAGAGAATGTATGTGCCTTTCAGTTCTAGTGAGAGAATTGAAAATTAACTAAATATTAATAATAATTAATATTAATTAAAATCCATGTGATAAATGTTTACATTAAGTCACAAAGCTAGCTAAATGTAGCCCTAAAACTGGATTCAGTTCAGGAAAATGTGGGGTAAGGTAAGGTAAGGTAAAACAGAGTGGATAAGATGTAATTTCTGTAGCACCCAGATTCTCATTGTCTATCACAAGGTAAAGCAGCCTAAGGATTGCTCTAAATTAAGTTTGGGTGCGAAGATCTTCCCATAGGGCCTTGCTACAGCAATAGGTGCTTTGAGTATGCTGTCTCTTCTCTTGGAACTCCCCCAAATATCTGTATGCTGGGGATGATGTAGAGCCATTCTGCCAGCTTTATACCACATGGAAAAAATTTTATCAGGAGAAATGCCAGATATTTTATTCAGCTGCCTTTGTTCAGCAATGAAACCACCTGAGAAGCCAGAATCAGTATCCTAATATTATAAGTTAGTGCTGAAATATATCCATGTACAAATAAAGTGGGGTGACAAATGAAAGCTACCGAACTTTCACCAAACCTGCTCTGAATACTGTTGTGTTTTGGTAACCGATGTACTTACAATCAGAAACTGCTTATTTTTACTTGCTCTTCTCTCAGAGAAATGGTGCCATTAGTACTGTGACGTTAAACAGGCTTAGAGACATATGATTTAAAATATGATCTTTCAGCCAGTTTATTAAGAATTAAATATAAGCTATGAGGCACTTATATTCCTTGTTCAGGGCATATTGTTTGGTTTTTTACAGCCCTATTTCTTTTTTACCCTTTGAAATGCTGCAACTGCCACAGTTAAATTGCTCCTAGTAGTCTGTGCATTTTCTTAGTGCTCTTTATCACCAGATTTGGATGTTGGCTCACTTTTTTCTGCTCTCTCTAAATGTCTGTATGTCTTCCCTCCACCAAAGTTTCTCCAGTTATACTAAACAGATTTTTTTTCCCTAGAGTCTACTATAGAGAAATACCAAAACTTTCCATAATTCCCAACCAAATCGTGGGGAACTGAAGTGGGTGTTCAAAAGTAGTTAATCCAGAGTAGCATCTGGCCATGTTTAGCTGTGCTGCTTTTAACAAGCTTCCTGCGCAACAGCAGAGGCATGCTAACCTTGGGCTAACCATTTAAAATCGTAATAACCATTTATCAGAGCCCTATGAAGATCAGGACCTTTCCGATAACGGAGGCTTATTGGACAGCACTATATTGACAATAGTAGCTGAAATCTGCTATGCTCAGGAGTAAAAAGGAATTTTAAAAAGAATTAATCAATATTTCATGTCTTGTTTTAACACCACTGGACTTTAGTCCTCCCATCAATATACTACACTGGCAGGATAAATAAAAACAGCAAAGTAAGTTCCCAGAAACCTTCCCTGGGAAGTGGAGTGCATGATAGAATACAGATTATGTACTTTAAAACAAAATATTTTTTCCTTCTTTTTCTTTTCTTTCTGAAGATCTGTGGCAAATGAAGGAACACAGTTAAACAGTGGGAGTTCTGGAGGAAATGTAACACCCCGGAATGCTATTGATATTGTAAACAGATTTTATATATTCATAAAAGCAATACAGACAATGTGAAAACAAGTCAATGGTTATTGGGTGTATTTATCTTGGAAACGAAAAGCTTATTTGGTGTATTTATCCTGGAAAAGAAAAGCTTATTTTGCTCAAGTCTCCTACGACTTCAAAGAGAAATGTTAATTACTGGGATTTTATTCACGCTTTTAAGACGTGGTTTCAGCAAGTTACTTAAGTATATGCTTAACTTTAAGCACAATGTCCAATCAGAATCAATAGAACTAATATGTTTAAAGCTGGGCATATACTTAAGTGTCTTGCTGAGCTGGAGCCTAGGAAGTGACTGTCCATTTAAATACCACTCACTTCAATTTAAAAAAACAAATGTGTTTAAAAGTTATCTGCAAATTTCAAGTTTCAAAATACTGCAGCTTTATATTTATGGGAGTGTTCTATATCTAAGCTATAAAGGATTGATGATTGTGCCATAAAGTTTAGAGAACTAATAATTTAAGAATTTTCTCATTAAATGGCAAATTAATTAGCCAGGAAAAAGCTTAGATATCATATAAACAGGAATCTGGGATGCCATTTCAAATAACACAAGAGAAAATGCACCTTCTTAAACATTGATCTCATACGATTCCTTTTGCTCAAAGGGCTTTTTTAATTAATTAAGAAATATCCTTTTTCTAAAAATCCTCATAAAAACATTAATATGAATATAGAGCGCAAACTGAGCACAGATTCAAGTTGTATGCAATCAATGGCTAAGCACGCACAGAGATCAACAGGACAGGATCAGGCCTACAGAGTGCTTTTTATATGTAGAGCTTAACATGTTTTTCACGCAGGTGGGTAAATGTTAGAAGTGATTAACCTACAAAAAAATTTGAAAAATAAATTAACAACGTCTAAGCTCTTATGGTTTCTCATGGTACAAAGCAGAACCATATTTTATTTAAGGAGTTTTACTTTTTTAAGAAACATATCAATTTTTCATTTTTTAATTTTTTAAATTTTTTTGCCACTGATGAAATGAAAAACAATCAGGGTTCACCTATCCCTTCTCATCCCCAATTTTCCCTTTCTAAATATGTATCATCTTCTCCTTTGGAAAAATTTGAAAAGTTACAGAATGCCAAAAGAAAAAATGAAACACTGTAAATTTGACAATATAACTTTTCTTAACATGAAAAAACTTTAAAGAGTTTGTAGGAAAGAGAAAAAAGAAAAAAAAACACTTCACATCGATGGTTTCATTGTATTCTGTCACAAAGAAAAAAAGGAGACTTGTAGGTGGCAAACTCTGCAACTTAAATAAAATGATTTTTGAAAATCAAAACTAAAGGAAAATTTCAATTTGAAAGTAAACTTTGTTACATACTCTATCCATTTTTCTAAAAATTGAAAATGATATCTTCCCAAGGAAAATGTCACTTTTGATTAAACTCCATTTTTCAGTGGAAAAATGTTTCTATCAAAATATTTTGACCAGTTTTTGTAAATACTATTTTATCTATTTTATGGAAAAATGGAGGCACAAAAAGATGAAATGCCTTGGCCCATGTCACACAAATGATAAAGGTATGAAAACAACCGATCTATCTTGCTGATCAGTCTAGTGTTCTATTTGCAGGATTATGCCCAATTCCATCTTTGCACATTTTTTCTTTTAAACACTTCATATTTTAGTACATGCACACACCCACATATAAAAAAGCCACCTTACATTGTGCATGCTATTACATACCAGTGTATAAACTAAACCAGCATTTTAAGGCTGAATCCTGATGTGCTTAATAGGGATGTTAGATTGTGGGTAATAGAATAGTCGACTAACTGCATGAATTCTTAGCAGTCAACTATTCTAGAGTTACCAGCTTCCTCTGTATCTGTGGGATGTGGGACTAGGCCTCTGACAGTGGGATGCAGAGCTTGGTCCTGCTGTGGACAGAGACTGGTTCCCAGCTGCAGTCCCTGTCCACGGGGGTCTGAGCTTCCTCTGGCCTGGGGCTGTTGCCAGAGCAGCCTCTGTCTGCAGGGAGCTCAGGCCACCTGTGGACAGGGGCTGCTGCTACCCGCACTGCCGCCTCTGTGTCAGAGGCAGCAGCACGGGGCGCCAGGCAGAAGCTGGTCTATGACGGGAGTCAGTTTAAAAACCAGCTCCTCTAGTGGACTGGCTGCCTGCCGCCCTGTGCTGTTCCCCCCGATACAGACACAGCAGCGTGGTCTGAGCTCCCTGTGGACAGAGGCTGCTTCAGCTTCTGTTGGCAGCTGCTGGGGACCACCCTCTGTTCACGGCAGAACCAAGCTCTGCATCAGGTTGACAGAGGTTTAGTCCCACATCAGGCAGAGCAGCCTCTGTCTGCGCTGATTCTGGAGGCAGGTGGCACTGCAGGGCTGGTGCTAGGAGTGGGAGGGGGGAGAACCAGCTTTTAAGCTGTCTGATACAGAGGCAGCAGGGGGGAGGGAGTAGAGGGAAGCGAGTAGTCAACTAGATT